CTATTCACTGCAGGTGGGAATGTAAATTAGGGAATGTAAATTAGTCCAGCCACATGGAATCAGGGTGGAGGTTTTCAAAACATTAAAAACAGAACTCCCATATGGTCTAGCCTTACCACTTCTGGGTATATACCCAAAAGAATCAAAGTCAGCTTACTATAGAGATACTTGTATACCCCCCCCTTTTTTTTTTTTGCTGTACTGGGGCTTGAACTCAGAGCCTACACCTTGAGCCACTCCACCAGCCCTTTTTGTGAAGGATTTTTTTTTGAGATAGGGTGTTGGGAGCTATTTGCCTGAATTGGTTTCAAACCACAATCCTCCTGATCTCTGCCTCCTGAGTAGCTAGGATTACAGGCCTGAGCCACCTGCACCTGGCTTATGTTTATAGCAGCACTACTCACAATAGCCAAATTATGGAATCAGCCTAGTTGCCCATCAGCAGATGAATGGGTAAAATGTGGTACATATTCACAATAGTTTTACTCAGACATTAAGAAGAATGGAATTGTGTCCTTTGCTGGAAAATGGATGAACTGGGAACTCATCATTTTAAGTGACACAAGCCAGTCTCACAAAGGTAAGTATCACATATTTTCTCTCACTGGTGGAGGCCAGGGGGAAACAAACAACCTAGGTCATAAAGGTAAAAGGGGGACTAGTAGGGAGGTGGAAGGGGAAGGGAAGAGGGGGAATAAGAAAGAGCAATAGAGGAGCAAATATGATCAAAATACCTCATATGCACCGGGCACCGGTGGCTCACGTCTGTTCAAAGCCAGCCCAGGAAAATAGTTCACCAGACCCCATTTCGAAGAAACCCTTCGCAAGAAAGGACTGGAGGAGTGGCTCAAGGTATAGGCCCTGAGTTCAAATCCCAGTCCACAAAAAAGAAAAGAAAAGAAAATTATACGCATGTATGGAAATGTCATGATGAAAGCACTAAAAAACTTAGCAGACAAAAAGCACAAAAACAAAACATTTGTCTAAATCTTCTGAAAATTTCTGCATAGACAACAATATCACTCTATCATAAAGACAGTTTTGCTTCTTCCTTTCTGATTCTTGTCTGTTTTGCTTCCTTTTCCTGTTCTATGGGACTGGCAGGCACAATGCTGAACGGAAGTGACCACAGTGCATACCTTTCTTTTGATTCCAATCGTGAAGGAGACTCAATTACTGTTATGCTAGTACTATGAAGTGTACTGCATGGTTTTGTTTGTTTTTAATTTTGGAAAATGGCTTTTATCAAAATAAATGAGTTTCCTCAATCCACTCCCCCAAAGATTAAAAAAACCAGTAAGTGGGTCTATGGTCATACTGCCTTTAATGCGCCTGATCGTGTCTGATATTGGAAGCTAAGGAGGGCTCATGTTTAGTACTGTTGTGCATGGTGGCACATGTCTATAATCCCAGCATTCAGAAGGCTGAGGCAGGTGGATTGCAACTTCAAGGCCAACCTGGGCTACATAGCAAGCTGGAGGCTAGTCTCAACTACATAGTGAGACACTGGTCTCAATTTAAAAAAAAAAAAAAGACCAAACTGTAGGTTGTCTATAATGAATGCATGGACTTTTTTTTTTTTTTTCAATGCTGGTAATCAAATAAATGTGATCAAATAAATGTAGGGCAGGGACACTAGGCTAGTGTTGTAACCATCCTCAGCCCATAAATGGACTTTAAATTTGAAGCCGCAGATACATTAAAGAATGGAAAAAGTTACACCAGTTAAAAAAAATAAGTATAAGAAAGCCGGAGTGGCTGTCTTCCTATCAGACAAAGCCGACTTTTGAAGGGACATTATCAGAGATAGAAGACACTGCATAATTATAAGAGGGTCATTTTATCAGGAACATGAAGTATTACAGATGTGTATGCACTCAGTAAGAGAGCCTCAAAATACATGTAGCAAAATTTGGGAAGGCTGAGGGAAGAAAGAGAAACCTGTGACTACGGGTCGGTAGACATCTACCCTGACTTGATCGATATTTATAGAACACTCTGTCGAGCTACAGAATATATTCTTTTCAAATACACAAATCTTAATGAATTTAATAGAAATGAAATAATACAGAGCAAATTCTCTGAGCACAGTAGGATTAAATTAGAAACAAACAGCAAAGAGATAGCCTGCCTCCCCGCCAAATTCAGCTGGCCCTCTGTATTCATGGGTTCTACATCCATGGATTCAACCAACCATGGATGGAAAATATTTGTAAAAAGCATTGTACCTAAAAAGAAAGAAGCTGCATCTGTACTCAGTGCCCAGCCCTCCCGTCAGTACTCCCTAAACAAGGTAGTGTAACAACCATTTAAGTGCCACTGACATTGCACTATGTATTACAAGTTTTTAAAGATAATTTAAACTGGACAAGAGTATGCGCACAGTTTCTATGCAAATTTATGCCATTTTATAGAAGGGCCTTGAGCAGGCATGGATCTGGCATCCACAGAGGGACCTGGAGCCAATTCTCTGCAGATACCAAGGGACAACTTTGTCTAAGGAAGTCATTGGCTAAATAAAGAAGTAATCACAAGAGAAATTAGAAAATATTATGAACTAAATGATAACAAAATGAACACATGTAGCCAAAGCTGTGCTTCAATTTAAGGAGGCTTCGGCAGAAGGATCACTTGAGTCCAGAAAAAAAGGAAAAGACACACATTACCAATATCAAGGATGACAGAGTTCTCTCACAACATATCCTTTTAACAGATGTTAAAAGGATGATAAGAAGGTATGTTTTTTAAAAAGGGGGCATGCCAACTTAAATGAGATGGACAAATTCTTTAAAAGACACAAATTATCAAAATTGACACAAGAATAAACAGAAAATTTGATTAGCCAAATATCCAATTAAAGAAATTGAATTTGTAAGCAAAAGCTTTCCCATTGTAGGAAAGCCTACAGTGGTAGGCTTGCCTAGCATGTGTGAGTTCTAGGATTCAATACCCAGCACGGTAACAACAGCAAACCCAAGACAAAATGAAATCCCCAAATTGAACCAAAACAAAAAAAAAAGCTTTACCACAAAGAAAACTCCACATCCAAATGGGTTCCTCTGTAAGTCTTTGAAACATCAAAAGAATAAATAACATCAAGCATCCATAAGCCCTTGAACACATGAGGAAGCCACAGGCATGGTGGCTCATTCCTGTAATCCCAGCTATGTGGAAGGCAGAGATTGGGAGAAATGCAGTTCAAGGCCAGCCAAGGCAAAATGTTAGCAAGACCTTATGTCAAAGACAAGGGGGCCATGATGATACATGTCTGTAATGCCAGCTAGGCAGGAGATAGAGGTAGGGGGATCACAGTCCAAGGCTGGCTCTGACAAAGAGCATGAGACTTTATCTGAAAAATAAACTAAAGCCAAAAGGGCTGGGGGCATGGCTCAAGTGGTAGAGTGCTTGCATGACAAGTGTAAGGCCCTGAGTTCAAACCCCATTACCACCAACCAACAAACGAAAAGCACAAAGAAAAACCACAAGAGAACAGAATACTTTGACTTATTATACATGGCCCTGATACCCAAATCAGAAAAAGGTATTGCCAGAAAACTGCAGACCAATATCCTTCCTGAATAGAGGGACAAATATTCTCAAGAGTTCAGCAAGTTGCGGGGTGCAGGTGGCTCATGCCTGTAATCCCAGCTACTCAGGAGGCAGAGATCAGGAGGGTCACGGTTCAAAGCCAGACCAGACAAATAGTTCTGTGAGACCCTATCTCAAAAATCCCATCACAAAAAATAGGGCTGGTGGAGTGGCTCAAGGTGAAGGCCCTGAGTTCAAACCCCAGTACTGCGAAAACAACAACTAAAAAGATACCAGCAAGAGAAATTCAGCAACAGATCCATGGCTAACGTCATGACCAAGTGTAGTACTATTTTAACTAAGGAATGAAAGTTTTCTTTAACATTTGAAAATCAGTATGGTTTAACACACAAACAGAATAAAGGTGAAAATCATGTGCTCATTTCAGTCGACAGAAAATAACCTGAAACATTCTATGCTTCCTCCAATTCAATAAGAATTCATAATAAAAATTCTCAACTAGATAATCTGACAAAATCTGATGATCCTACAGCTAATGTCGTACTTGGTGATGAGACAACACTTTCTAATTACAACTGAGAACAAAGCAAGGATTTCCACTTCCACCATGTATACTCAACATTTGATTAGAGATCTCAGCCAGTGCAATAAGAAAATGAACTAAAAGTAGCAGGGAACAGTGGTTCATGGCTATAATCCTAGCTATGTGAGTAGGGAAGTTGAGATCAGGAGGATCTTGGTTTGAGGCCAGCCCTGGCAAAAAAGTGAGACCCTCCCCCTTCTCAACCAATAAAAAGCTGGGCCTGGTGGCATATGCCTGTCATCCTTGCTACGTGGGAAGGAAGCATAAATAGGAGGAACACAGTCCAGACCAGCCTCGGTATGAGAGCAAAAGCCTACTTGAAAAATAACTAAGCAAAAAGTACTAGGACATGGCTCAAGTGTGAGAGCACCTGCCTAGCAAGTACAAGGCCCTGAATTCAACCCCAGTACCACCCCCTCTCCCCAAAAAAAGAACTAAAGGAATATAGGATTGAAAAGAAGTAAAACTTTTTGCTGATACAATGATTATGTACCCAGACTATTCCGTATTTATTCCAAAATGACTAGAGTGAATTTAAGCGAAGTCATAGGCCCATATGCAAAACTCAGCTATTTCTATACACTATCAATAAATAACTAGGAAATGAAGTTGCCATTTACAATAGTATCAAAAAACATGAAGTAGGTGAGGAAAAAATTAATGATATATGAAAACACTAGGTAACAGCACTGGATCTGTCCCCAGTATGGACGTGGCTAACTGGGAGGCTTTCTTTTTTTTGGTGGGACTGGAGTTTGAATTCAGGGCTTCACACTTGCAAAGCAGGCTCTCTACTGCTTCAGCCACACCTCTGGTCCATTTTGGAGACTGGGGGGGGGGTCTCACTAAGCATTTGCCCAGGCTGGCCTTGAACCATGATCTTCCCTATCTCAGCCTCCTGATCTCAGCCTTGTAAGCAGCCAGGATTTACAGGCATGAGCCTTGACTAAGTTCAAGGCTTTCAGTGTAACAAACTTCACAAGTATAGCCAGAGATAGAAACGTAAGTTTTTATTACTCAAGGACAACTTGGACTTCACCAATGCCTAGCTTCATGGGGGCGTGTAGTGTGACTCGTGATTGTGCACACAGAATCACTGTAAGCCTGGGCTACAGCCCCGGGCTACTTTTGTAGACTCTCAAGAGGACAGACAAAACTTGGCTTGCTTCTAAAAATGTGAGTCACATTTTTCTTTTTCCCGAAAATGTTGCCCTTTCCTTTCTGCCTTGCTCTCAACTTCTGCTTCTTGGGGCTTCTCACTGTCTGGCTAACACAAGCCTTGGCATTGCTGGACCTTGGGCAACAGCCCTTCTGCCACAACAGTGCCTGGACCTGAGGCTGAGCCTGTGGCCTTTGGAGCCCATCTGTGGTGCCTAGGGGTGGCCTGGCAGTCACGTTAGGCTAACTCACAGGTCTGTGGTGAAGGTTGTGACACCGGCCGGAGGCAGGGGTGCTGTTGGACTCTCCGGGGGAATCTCAGAATTCTCACTTCTCGTTAGTGGACTGAACTATAGGGCAGTCATACTTCACTTTTGCAATTGACAAGGGGCTGGGAGGGCACCAGGCACACCTGCTCTGTCGTGCAGAAGGGCTGTTTCCCTTGGGGCTTTAGGAGAGTCCAGAGAGACAGACTAAAGATTCCTGCAGGCCTGGGCTGCAGACTTGCTCTAGCTCTCAGGGGACTCAGCTCCCCCCACACCAGTGGCCTCACTTGCCTCCCCCAGGGCTGTGTAGTTAGCAGCCTTCCAACACGTGCCAGCCTACCCGTTAGATGCTACTGGCTTGCCTTGCCCCCAATGCTGGACCAAAGGCAGGCCTCAGAGATGGCTTGCCCTATCAGCAGCTTCCAGCAGCCTCCTTGGCTGGTCCTGCCTGTTCCCACACCCCTAGAGCAGCAAGGTCCACCACCCTCTCTCCCTTGCCAGGATGGGCCCTCACCCCTGCTGCCTGTGGGCTAAGTGGGTTTGTGTGCTATGAGAACTTCCAACCATGAGAACTTTGACTTCCCAGTGTGGGGAATCTGCCCAGGTGAAGAATTCAGCTCTGAAATTCATCACTCTCTTCAGGTCCCTGTCTGTTTTCATGTTCCAGGCCAAAGCCTACAGAAGGAAGAGGAAATGTCACTTAGCCAACAGGGGGAGACTCCCTGTCTGCCAGAAGCCCTGGTTGAAGTCTGGGCCATGCCTCCTCCTCCTAGGGCACTGTCCGGAAGCAAAGGTTTCTACTTCTAAGCAGCAGTTCTTCAAATGGTACATGCAATGGCAAATTCCTGCTGGGGTTTCACATTTTCCGGGAGCACTGGGGGGGGGGACGACACTGGCACCCTGTGGTTAAGAGAAGGTGTGGGAACTGGGCTAGGATCTTCCTACAGGAGATGTGGGGGGCACTGTTAGAGGGAGTGGCTTGCCTGAGTGCCTGGGGGCCTCAATCGTGCAGTCAGAACAAGCACTCAGGTGATTGGGGTTGCCATGAGGAAGTGTGTCTCTGCAGCCTGAAGGTCAGTCATTGGGCTGCAGCATGTGTGTGGGTTAAGGAGGGAGCTCCACTGGGGGCCCACTCTCTAGGAAGCTGAGTTGGAGGTGTGTACTCAGGTACCTGGGAAGGAGCCTGACGACAGTAGCTGTAGGCTGTCCAAGACCCCATCCTCATAAAGGGCCAGCTTCTGTACCATCTTCTGTCGGGCTGGGTTGATGATGATCCGAGGTGGCTCTGACAATGACGATGATGACGATGACGATGCACAGCTGACCACTGGTGATACTGGGGCAGAGACAGCACCCCCTCTTAGCTGTCCCTGGTGACTCTCAGTCACACTCTAGCCTCATGAGTCTCCCCAGCCCCCACCCTAGTACCCTGCCTTGCTGGTAGGACAGAATTCCTCAGTGAACTGTGAGGCCAGGGCCCGGAGGGAGTCATGCCATGGATCCAGCTCTCAGAGTAGGCCAGGAACCAAGACAGAGCCTTCTTTGTTCTCAGCTTTTAGGAGTAGGGTGGGGGAGAGAGAAGGGCTAGGAAGGCAGCTCCTTGCCTCTCATCTACTTGGGGCATGATCTTGGGGAGGGAAGTAAGATAGCACCAGGCTAAGGACATAGTGAGCTGAACAGCTGGCCCCATGTTTCTTCCTCTCAGAAGGCCTGCGTGGGAAATATGGGGGCTATTGTGAAAGGAGGCTTCTGGTCCCCCCCTCTGGTCACCTGTACTCTCCTGAACCCCTGAACTACCTTCCACAGCTGTGGGCTGGAGGCCTGGGCCACTTCCCCAGCTTGATTCTCCAGCGGTGCCCCTCTCAGTACAGTCAACCTCTTTGAGGGGTGCCGGCCTTGGGGGGCAGCCTGGGGTCAAGTGCCAGGAGTGCAGGGAAGCAGAGAGACTGGATATACTCTCGTCACTCTCCACAGGCTGGTTGGGGCTTTTCTGGAGCTGCTGGGCAGCCTGGGCTGGTGCTCCTGAGGGCACTGCCAGAGGCTGACATGGGCCACTCCCACTCTGGGCACTGCCAGTGGTGGACATGTAGGAGTTCTCCTGTGGGGAAGGGGGGCTGTGGCCAGCGGCCTCTGGCTCCGAAGGAGGCCCTGATCCTGCTGCCTGTAGCCCCTCCAGCCTCTTGTACACCTGTGTGGAGAGAAAGGCTCTCAGGACAGGCAGAGCTGAAGCTTCTGGGCTGGGCAGGGTGGCCCTGGCCCAACACTTCATGGTAAAACTACAGAGCTGTTCCAGATTGGCCACGACCTACCCTGGGTTCAGGTTGCTGCTACAGGCTCTGGGGGGCTGCAGGAACCACCAAGCCAGCACACTCTGCAGCTGAGCAAGCTCTACTACTTGCCCCTTTGTCCCTATCACAGGAGTGCTGAGAATCATGGCCACTGAAGCCAAGTACTATATTCTCAACTGTCACCAGAGTTAAGAGAACCAGGGAGAGAAGAAAAAAAGACAGAGACAGTGGCACAGTACCCCCAGTAGGAGGCGGGGTAAGAGCCCTTTCCTACTATCTGTGACATGGGATCTGAGCCCCACCCAGAAAATAGGACCCACTGCATCCTCAGTTCAGTGGGGCATCACCCAAAGCAGAACCAAAGGGCAAGCAAGGAATGTTGGGAGACTCCTCTCCAGAAAGGGGCTAGGCAGGTATACTGTGTTCAACTGGCTATGGAGCAAGGCCAGGAATTGGGGTTTCTGGCTGGCCACCCTTTCCCCACGGGCAGCTGACTTCCCTGGGGCTACCTGGGTCATGGGGGGCCTCCTCTTGGCCCGGCGGTGCAGGCAGCAGCAAGCCAGCTGACCCAAGGCCAGGCCCAGCTGGGGTGGGCATGGCCCAGGCCTGGGGTCCAGGTGCTTCTTGTAGATTTGGGCAGCAATAGGAGCAGCCCAGGTATCCACACCTGCTTGGAGAGTGGTCTGGGTGCTTTTCAGGGTCACCCCAGCCTCCTCGGCCTCGTCTTCAACCAGATCTTTCTGTGGGACAGATACTGTGAGCATGGCCTCTGGGTGGCCACACCTTAGCTGAATTCCCCAGGCTCTTGTCACTCAATCCTGTTGGCTTCAGTCTCTGGTTTTATTAACAACCCATAGTGCCCAGTGCTGCACCAGGTTCTAAAGACAGAGTGACAATCCAAACAGTCTAGGCCCCACTTCACAGAGCTGACTTCCTGGTGGAGGGAGGGGAGTAGATGCCAACAAGCCTATTAGCTTGTTAACAAGACCCATGGGGCCAGAGCGAGTGGTACTTGAGCTGGGACCTAGAGGACATGCTGGTGGATACAGAAGGCAAAGGAAGGAGGAATCGAGTCTGGTTCATAGCTTGTTGTATGGGCTGAGTCCCTGATGAGACCAAGAATGGACAGAAATAGCCCCCATACAGAAGAAGTGACAGGAGGTACACAAGTTTATAAAAAGTGAGGAGCAATCATTAGCCAAGCATGTTCTGGGGGAATTGTCTGGGGACGGCCTATGTGTTAAATCTGTACAGGAAACTGAGGCCCAGCAAGGAGCAGGAATTTGCTCCAAGAACATTGTCAAGCTGGAACTAGAACCTGTCTCCTGTTCCCATCTCAGTGCATGGTGAGGCGGACAGGAATGCAGAAGGATTGGGTGGGGACAGCTCGGAGCTGTCCCCACAGCATGGAGCATTTTACCTGCAACTTGTCTGGTAGGCCCAAGGGAAGGCTTCTCAACCTGCCCGATTCTCTACAACTGCCTTTCCTGGCGCCTGCCTTCTCTGAGTTCCACTGCAGCTCTGGTGCTCTGGTACCAGGCCAACAGAACTGTCTCCTTTCCTGTCCCCATCCCAGGTGGAGTCTGTCAAAGACCATGGATTTTTTGTGGTGGTACTGGGGGGTTGAACTCAGGGCCTCACACTTGCAGGCAGGTGCTCTATCCTTGAGCCACAGTGCCAACCCTTTTGGCCTTGGTTATTTTTGAGATGGGGGCCTCACTTTATGCCCGGGCAGGCTTGGACTGTGATCCTCCTAGTTGTGCTTCCCTGTGTAGCTGAGAATGCAGGTGCACACCACTGCATCCAGCTATTGGTTGAGATGAGGTCTCGCCAAGTATTTTTTGCCTGAGCTGGCCTCAAACTGTGATCCTCCTGATCTCTGCCTCCCAAGTAGCTAGGATTACAGACACGAGCCACCACGCCTGCCTGGCGCATGGACGTCTTTTTACAGTGCTCTCATGTTAGGTAAGCACTGTACCATCGAGTTACATTCTCAGCTCCAAGGCCCATGTACAGAAGAAAGACAGGTTTTTCCTAGCAAGGTAAAGGAAGCTGTTCCAGGTCCTGCCCACTTTCAAAGATGAGTCAGCAGCAGTGGCAGCGACAGGCTTCTGTGGGGCACTGCGTTTTGAATCATTCCACCCTTCAGAGCTGCAGCTATTAGTAGTAAGGGCCAGTGCCTCTCTCCCTCCCTTCCTCCCCGGGGGCTCACCAGATACTTGGTCCTGGTACCATGCGTCCTCACAGCTCTCTGGCCAGCCAGGGTCTCCAGCACTACCTAGAGAGGGTGGGATGGACAGTGTCACCCCAGGCCTCAGCAGGGAAGTGTTATGGCAAAGAGGACGTCTCTGGGGTGAACACAGATTGGGGTTGACAGGCACGCAGCCCTGGGATAGGCAGGTAAAGACCAGCAGATGAAAACAGGTTACCAGCAAGGACAGGGCCAGGTGTTATGGAATAAAAGTTCAATTTGGAGGGCCCATTTGAAGCAAGAGAATGCAAAATTACCAACACAAGATTAGGTGCAAGGATGGGAGAGCCCTGGAACCGAAGCTTTGTTAGCTTCTCACCAGGTTGGCCTCTGACCTCTACACAGAATTCTCCAGGCCCTCCTGCCTTTGCTTACTGGTGGCTTTTCCTCCCCCAAGCCAGCAGAGGGGCTAGTGGCTCACCACCCCAAAGCTGAAGGTATCAGTGTCCACAGCTAGGCGTCCTGTCTTGATGTACTCCTCAGGCAGGTAGGCCAGGGTGCCTCTCACAGTGCGTGTCCGGGCCACAGCACTGCTCTGGCCAGGATTGGCCCCTGCAAAGCGGCTGAAACGAGCCAGGCCAAAGTCTCCCAGCTTGGGCATCAGTCTCTCATCCAGAAGGACATTGGAACTTGAGGAAGGAAGAGAGTGCCATCAGCCCAAGCCTGGCCCTGGCATGCTCTTTCCCCATACCTGAGAGGCTCCGATGAAACTGAACCAGAGGCTGCCAGTCTGGCACCTTGCCCATGGAAAGTGGCTGCCAGTGCCTTGCATGTCTCATATGCCTGATGGCCAGCAGTCCAAGGCACTCTCCCACAAACTCGGCCTCTGCTCATCAGTGGGGCCCATTGGTGGCCTCATTTCCATACCTGTGTCATGCAAGGGTGCTCAATGCTGTAGAAACTGCTAGATCTGAGGTCCCAGGCTGTGCCTGTCCCCATATCAACAGGAATGAGCAGGCTGAATCTCACAGGGCTCCTTGGTGGGCAGGGGTCATTGCTTTGGGCCTGCAGCTCTCACCTCTTGATGTCTCCATGGATGAGGCTGGGACTGTCTTGATGTAAAAACTGAATGGCTCGGGCTGTGCCCAGAAGGATGTCCAGTCGCTGAGGCCAGGAGAGAGGGGGGCAGGCCTGAAATGGCAAAGATGGGGAGGCTGAAGACAGCTGTTCTTTGACCTCAATCTTCCTCCCACCTGTCACCATGTGGTCTGGAACAAGCCAGCCTCTTCACTCTCTTGAGCCTCAGTTTCCCCTTCTGGAAAACGAGGAGCAAAACTATCTACTACCTAGCTCTACCTCCTCCCACTAAAGCTATTCCAAAGCTTCATAAAACACTTCAAGGCCGGGAAAGTAGGTGGGGAGCATTTCTTGGGATTCATGACAGATGTAATAGGCTTGGGTTCCCAGAGGTCCTTCCTTGTCCCTGGTCAAGAAGGTGTCAAGGACATTTTCCCCACAGCTTACATGAGAAAGCAAGAAAGCGCTTGCGTCTTGTGGGTATGTCCTTCAGGCAGGGCCAAGCCTTGGGTCCAGTTGGACAGCCTGTGTCCACCAGTCCCCTGTTCCTCAAGAGCTAGGCTGACAAACCCTTTAGCTACTCTGCTTCCATAGGGTAGAAGTTTTAGCCGATAATCCTATTTTTAGAGTAGCAGCCAGGGACAGGCCACACAAAAGAGTTTCATAGAAATTCTTGGGCCAAGCCCTGCAGCTAGGCTGCAGGGGAGCCAGCAGTCCAGGCCCTGCCTGCTGAGGGGCCCACTCACAAAGGCTAAGAGGCCAGGCCTGTGCCCGGCTCTGTCCAGGTGCCAAGAGTGCTGCACATACCATGAAAGGTGCCAGGTCAGGTGAGTTTACCTGAAGGTGGAGTCGGTCTTCCAGGGAGCCATTGGGCAGGAAGCCGTAGACAAGGCAGTAGAAGCCACTCTCAGCACAGTAGCCAGCAAAGTCCACAATATTTGGGTGACGAAACCTGTTTGAAAGGATGGAGTCTGAGCTCTCTGGCTCTCCAGGACCTCTACTTTCCATCTGGTCAGACTGGGTGGGCAGCTCCTGCTGCTCCCTCACCTAAGTCTAGTAGGCCTTGGAGGCCTGAGGGAGCCAAGTCCTGTTGTGTGCCGTCCTAGAGACTGATGAGGCCCTGCTGTGGCTCTCCCTGTACCCTCCACCAGGAGGAACCCCTGAGGCTCACCTTGACAGCTGCTCCACCTCCGTCAGGAAGCTCTGCTTCACCACAGTCCACTCTAGGTCAGCCTCCTGCAGCCGCCCGGGTGTGGTGGGAGAAGGGGCAGGGAAAGTAGGCAGCATGAGCTGGGCTCCTTAGCCCTTCCAATGCTATTTGTCTCAGGCCCAGGACAAAGGGTTGGTACCCTTGAACTGGAATCAGGACTGAAGCTGGGGCTTGGGGAACAGGAGGGGAGCGGGGAAGCTGGAGAAATGAGGTCTGATGGGAAGGGGGTCCTGAGAAGCAAGGGCTGGTGGATGGCCTTCCAGAGCCATTGACAGGATGCCATACCTACCTCCTTCAACCTCTTCACAGCGTACATGGTATTCCTCATCACCGCCTGGTACACACACCCAAAACCGCCCTCCCCGATCCTGAGCTCCTCGGAGAAGTTGCGGGTGCCCTGGGAAATCTCACAGAGGGGCCAGCAGAAAGGGGACGGGTGGGCCCTCTGCAGGAGAGACACCTGGCTCTCTGGGCTTGCCTGTTGGAAGAGACCCTAGATCAGGTGAGGGGTCTGACTCCTTCCCAACCTGCTCAGGCTGTAAGCTCCCATTGACTCTGGCTGCCTCTTAGCGGACCTGGCTTGGCTGACCAGGATTCCGAGGTGCAAAGGCTGAGTTTCTTTCTCTTTGTTTGGAACCTTCCCTGGAGGGCAGGGGGCACCTACCTTGGTAGAGGAAGGGGCTGGAGATGGCAGTAGTGGCTGGAGGGAAGCAGGGCTTGGGACTGGGCAGAGCTCTGGCCCTGAATGGGTCTGGAGGCCTGGAAAAGCTTCACAAAGATGCCAGTGAGAAGGCAGGCAGAGACCAGCAGCAGGGTCTACAGCCACGGCAACAGTCAAGGGGAGCTCCTTTCCTCAGGTCCATCAAGCCCAACACCTGGGCCCCCTTACCTGGGGAGAGGAGGGTGGAGGTGGAAGGCTGCAACTTCCGGGGACTCCAGGACTCGGCCTCAAAGGGTGCTGAGATGCTGCTGGGTCTCGGAGCAGTGGTGCTTGGGGGCAGAAAGGGGGTAGGAGGGTGCCCTGGGACGCCAAGGAAGGAAAGGAAGACTGAGGCCCAGGAGGTGGGGGAGGCTATGGGTCCCGCCATCTCAGCGGCCTCTGTGTCGGTCCCCTCCCACAGGTCCCCCATCCCCAGTGTCGGGGTCGCGCGCGCGCTCACAGGACGTGATGATGTCCCGCGCACGCAGCAGCTGCAGGTGCGTGAGGATGTGAACGAGGTCGGCTACGCGCGCGTTGCGGTTGATCCAGGGCCACAGGACGCTGGCCGTGCGCTGCCCAGAGCGCTCACACAGTCGCAGCTCGGTCTGGTCACGCACGATTAGGGCCGCTGCGGAGCGAGGGTCGTCAGGCCTCGGCGCGGCCAGCCCGCGTCCCCCGCCCCCCCACCGGCCCGTTGCCACCCACCGAACTGGCACCAGTCAGCGGGCTCCAGGGCGTCCATCACTTTGTAAAAGCGGCACATGACCCAGGGCGGCACCTCGTACAAGAAGTGCTGGGCGCCGGGGACTGCGGGCTCCCCCGGTCCCGGCCCCCCGGCCATGGCTGTCGCCGCCGCTGCCGCCGGGCCAGGGCCTCAGGGCCGCGGCGGACGCGGGCCTGGGCCGGCCGGGTCCGCGGACACTGACTCACTTCCCCTTCAAGCCGGCCTCGTGCGACGCCAGGCACGGCGGAAGAGGCGGTGCTCGGGCCCGCCGCCATCTTGCCCACCGCCGGCGCTGCGTCCCTCGGCCACACGGGGGCGTCCCGCGCCGCCCTGGGCCCTGGGAAAGGGACCCCGGTAGGAGCGCAAACCTCGAGTGACAAAAGCGTGAGGCCAGAGGCCACGCCCCCTCATGGCAGGCTGGGCAGGACGGGCTTTCAGAAGCAGGGAGCCTTCTGAAAGGCTCGGGTCTCAAAAGGCTGAGGAAAGCCTCCCAGCTCTGGGGACAAAGGGCACAGCAAAGGCACTGGATGTTCTAGAAAGGCCGCTTATGCCAAGCCCGGTGAGTCACTGAGAGGTCCCGTTAAGAAGTTTTGGCTTTATTTAGTGGGCAATGAGAAGTTGACAGCATTTTAGGCAGGACAGGGTCAGATGTGGGTCAACAAAACACCCCCTGGCCGGCTCTGGTCAGCTGGTGAGGCTGGATGCTAAGGGAACGATCTGGAAGCTGTATATCACACCACCCTCTGTGCCTTGGATTCCATCTTTTCCGCTCCTTTAGGAATCCGAGCCAGCAACTGTTAGATCTTTGCAATATTTGTCGCTTTTCCTTCTTCCCTTAGTTATTTATTTATTTGGTGGGACTAGGGTTTGAACTCAGGGCTTTGCGCTTGCAAACCAAGTACTGTACAGCTTGAGCCACGCCTCCAGCCCCCACTTTTCCTTCTTTGCAGGCTCCTTACTAACATATTGAAGGCATTTATTGTCTCTTAACAGGCCTTTGCCCCACCCCCATATGTATGACATTCCAGCTCCTGTTGTCCCTTTCCCTTTCCTGTCACACTTTTGGCTCAGTTTGCACTTTCCCTGTTCGTCACAGTATGTCAGAGTCGGGTAGCATCTCCTTTTTATTTATTTTTTTGGTACTAAGGTTTGAACCCAGGGCTTCACACTTGTTAGGCAGGTGCTCTACCACTTGAGTCATTCCACCAGCCTTTTTTTTTTTTTTTTTTTGCAGTACTGGGGCTTGAACTCTGGGCCTACACCTTCAGCAACTCCACCAGCCATTTTTTCTGACGTTTTTTGAGATAGGGTCTCATGAACTATTTGCCCAGGTTGGCTTCAAACCGCGATCCTCCTGATCTCTGCCTCTTGAGTAGCTAGGATTACAAGTGTAAGTCACCAGTGGCTCTATCCTCTTTTCTGAAGCTGCTGTCACTCACCAAGCTCAGTACAGAACCTGTTTGACCTCTTAGCCACATGGGTTTCTTGACCAAACTCCCGGTATTCTCCAGCCATGGGTTTCTTTGGCTTTTGTGGCCACTCTTTATTATTATTATTATCATTCTTGTTGTTGTGCTGGGTGGGGGTACACTGTGGCATTTACAAAAGTTCTTACAATGTATCAAATATGTTGTACTTGAATTTCCCCCCACCTTGTGGCCACTCTTATGACTTGCATCTCAGCAGTGACTACTGAACTACTTGCAGGAGTATTCTTTTTCCCCAAAGACCACTATCCTTAACCTTAACCATTACTTCTTGTTTGTTTGGTGCTGTTGGGCACTCTACCAGGTACACCACACATCCAGCTCATTAACCATTACCTCTTACCTGCATGAACATGTTGGTTTTTTAAAAGGGTTCACTACCCAGATGATCTTCCTCAGGCCCAAATCACACTATAGCACTTTGCTGTAGACGACCTTCCCAGAGTTCCCAAATCCCAGCTTTCTAGTGTGGCCCACAGGACTGCTCCAAAGTAGCCACTCCCAGCCCATCTGAAGTCTAGCCCTCAGCAGCCTTAAGCCATTAAGAACTCCTTAGGTGTCTGGCAATGGATGTAGCATGCTGTCCCCTGAAGCCACTGGTCTGCATGTGCCACTGCCACAACCCTTACTGGACAAGGTTGAGTCCCAACAGGTAAACCTGTCCTCTCATGCACTGTCTTAAGCTTGCTGGGGCTTTGGGCCTCTATACAGGTCTGACTCCTCCACTGGATGGGGAAAACCCACAGGCAGCAACAGGGCCTTACTCTTTTTTTTCTCCAGATGGATACATGCTTGTAAGGCAAAAAGTCTCCTTCCCTGACAGTCCCTCTTGCCCTGTCAGTTGTAACTGCAGAGGGTCCCCACCCTAGCCTGTCCTCTCAGAAACAAGGTCCACCAAAGACCCATGCCTAGACTCCACTGGAGCCTCTTCCTTTTAGCACCAGCCCCAGTGGCTTCTTATGGGACACCCCTTACTGACATGTACCAGCTCCAGAGTTTACAACTGTCATGTGCACACATGCTAAGCTCTATAGGGCAGGGACTTGGTCTTCCTTGTACACTGGGGAACATCAGCTCCTCAAACAGGTAGCACACAGGACATGCTCAATGGCTACAGGCTGAATTTTCAACCCTTTCATCTAACATTCAAGGCTAGGACTTAGAGGGTATCTTCTTGCAGGTGTGCCCATATTTACATGTGACCTGGACTCCAAGTCAACCCATGGTCCCACTGTTCCATGCCATTGCCTCTCCTCAAGCTCATTACCAGCCTAATGAGGACAGCTGTGGCACAAGTGAGCAGCTGCTGACAGCCCATACTCTTATGGGAGGCCAGTGACAATAGGGTCCCTTTGGGCAGTCCCTCAGCATGCCCTTGCCTGGTCTGGGAGCCAGGTTATTTGTCAGAAGAGGCCATGTGAAGGTCTCGACTGGTCTGGATCACAGGAGTCAGGGCTGTGTGTGTTTGTGTATGTGTGAGGGGGTTTGGGGGAGGGGCAAAAGCACCATGGCACATCAGAATCTAGGAAGTGTCCCTGACGTACTGGTCAGGAAGAGGAAAGTTGTGCTGCACGCAGACTTGTACTAGGCCCTCCCCGTCCATGCTGGAGCAGGGTGCCTGGAAGCACTGACAGCGAGTAAGCCAGAGAGGATGCCAGGGAGACTAGCATATGAAGTGGGCTTCCCTTCCCTCCCACGGCAGTACTGACAGTGGCTATCAGTGTTCAGAAACAGCTGGATCAAAAGAGCAAGCACACCACCATACTGTCAGGTGAGGTGGAGGGGACTGCTGACTTACAATGAAAGCCCAGACCTTGAGTCACTTTCACAGAGAGATTTATCGAGAATGCTAACAGCACAGGATACAGTACTTCCCAACAAAAGGTGCAAACGCATCACTTAGAAAGGCATGCTGAGTATTCTTTGCTTTCACATGTATTAAAAAACTTACAAAAATAAAATAAAACTGCGTGCTGCCCATCTTTTCAAATAGTAAAAGAACCTTATGAAAAACCACTTGATTTTACAACAAAAGACACAAACGGACATTTTTATGTAAATTTATAAGGCAAACTCTTTATATAATAAATAGGTTACAGGGATTCAGTGGGGGTGTTTGGAAACGTATACAGGTACATTCAGACAGGTTTACTGAAATGGTACAAATTTCCTTAATAAATTGCCTTTTGTTTTTAAATATATCAGTGCTTTCAGTCATTTGGCTATACACAAAGAACCTTTTTTGAACACTACAAAAAAGCAATCAATATTTTTGTTTTTAAAACGACCTACTTATTTTCTAAAGTAATTGTCCCAAAACACAAAAACTGAAGGTGAATGCGACAGAGGGCTTTTCAAGACCCCTCCAGGTAAGTCTGTCCTGGGTCTCTCCCCATGCCCTATGCACCCTGCTCCCAACCTCAGGCAGGCTTTCAGGATGAAGCTGGCTCCCTTCAACACAGGGTGGTCTGTCACTGGCAGCACTGTCTCTCAGATCTCGGCCTTCAGGCTGACAGAAGGGAGTGTGACTTGAACTTGGAAGTGGGCAGACACCCTGTCTGGTTCTTCCAGGTACTAAACTCCATGTGCAAATGGTCACTACAGGCAGTACTGTCCTCACCTGAAGCACTAAGGGAGCACAGATCTGTCCCTGTTCTGTGAGCCCAGAACAATCCGTAACAAGGGTGACGGCTTCACTGAGAAGGATCTGTTTGTCATGGAAAGGGAAGGGGGTGTCTAATGTAAAATTTTTTGGGTATCAAATGACAGCAAAGAAAGAGAGGAAAAGCGAACTCCCTCTGCTGTCATTTTACAACCCTGGAACAGTGGGGAATAGCAATGTCATTAGTGCTGTGCACACGGGGACAAGATGGGGTGTGGCAGAAGTGTCCTGACTGATAATGCCCTATGGGCATGCCTTGGAGACAAGAATGCCCACTCCCTAGCCTTGTCCAGAAAGAGCTGCATCAGGCAGGAAGTAGCCAATCCACCTGCCAACCCATCCCTGACCTGTGCCCACAATAGGGCATCTGACCACAAGCTTAGGGCCAAACCTCTCCCCCTCCCTCCCTTTGTTTTCAGCTAGGTCAGCTCTGCTCTCACATCTCCTCCTGGCTCTCCTCAAGGAACATCAACCTTGTCTTTCCTTAAAAACAACAATGGAGATAATAATTTTTTTGGGGGGGAGCTCAAAGAATCCAGTGGATGAGACAAAAACTGGTTTTGCTCTGACTTTGAAAATGGCAACACATCAGCTATTCAGTCTGTTGGCTTGGAATGGGACCCGGGCTTAACCTCTTTGGGTGGTTTCTGGATGATCTGGGAAAGGGTCATCTCTTCAGATCGCCCCTCTTGTCTTAGTCACCATTCCCCTCCCTCCAAATGCTTTGTAAAGAAAAGGTGTCTAGAAGCATTTGTCTCTGGAACAATTACTTTAAACATGGTTACAATACAGACTTCAGTTCAAACACAGAAGAGATTTACTTAGCAAAGTTCCTTTCACCCACCAAAAATTACACAAATATAAGCCTCAACACCACAGTTAAGAGGACCAGTAGAGAGAACCTCATGTTTGGAACACAAAAGGAGAAATAAAAACCAAACCAAACCCAAACAGAAAAACCCCAGAAAGACAAGGAAAGGGCGAGGAAGGAAGGGGAAGGAGAGCAAACACAGCACACATTACAGTGTCCAGGTACACGGGGAGCCCCGCACGAGGAAAGGGCTCGGCACACATTGAATAACAGTCCTGGTGATATTTGGTCATATATTCAACTACTGACTCTGGAGCGGCTGTTATTGATTGAAGCAGTGACAAGTCAAATGGTAAAGGAGGCCGTGGTAGCAAGGGAAGGAGCAGGCTTCAAGTTCTGCAAGCCTTTTGTACTCCACTGTCCAGCTCCCCAGAAACACTGAACTGGGTGGGCCCTGCTCCATCCGGGCGGGGCTAGAGGTCACCGGGTGAGGCTAACTTGGGCGCTGATTTCACATCAGTCACAAAGCACGCATGTGGACACATC